GGGATCCGAAACCACCTGCCTCGGGCTCCCACTCCTAGCACTGGCGGGCCCTGACGTGGCCGGCTTCACCGGCGTTAGAATATGAGGGGGAGAAGCCAATACCGCCTGCCCTGACTCCCGTCCCCCAAGGCGCACCTCGGGCGTAGATGCCATAGCCGGAACCACGTCTACCGGCGAAGCAGGGGACATAGGAGCGACCTCCGGCTGTACATCCCAAACTGCCGACCCCTTCCAAACCTTCGTAGTTTTGATTCATGGGACCCCTTCTTTTTCTTTTCGTCGTTATGCAGACTTCCAAAGTGGGTCAATTCAAGGTCGCTTCCTCACCTCTCCAGCCTGGCCATAGATGTGGAAGAACTGCAAGGGGATGACGTTCAGATCATTGGGATGCTGCCTGCTCTTCGGTCTCTGCGGCTGGGTGCAAGACGCGTGATGGGAAGGTTGGTTGTGAGGACCGATGCATTCCCATCTGCGAGATGCTGCATGTTCAGATGGTTTCCGACGGCGCCGTGCCTTTTCCCACCTGGAGCTATGCCAAGGGTTCAACACCTTGATTTCTGGGTATCTTATTGGTCGATCGCGATTGGTGAGGTTGACTGTGGCATGAACCACCTCCCTTCTCTCGAGCATGTCAAGGTTACTCTGCAGCGTGATAGGTTCACTGTTAACGGGGTCGATGAAGAGGTGGATATAGCCAAGGCTTTGCTGAGGCGCGCAACAGAAGCCCATCCAAAACGTCCCACCATTGAAATCTATTCGACATAAGTGCTCACATTCCTTGCCGCCGGTAAGTCACGTTTACTCATCTGAGGAACCATGAATAAATCTCTTTCCCTGAATATGCTCCTTATCATACTTGTTTGATTTATCCCTCTTACTTTCTCAATTTCAGGCCTTGAATAAAATCTTGGGAGCCAAATACTAGTAATCCAACCAGTCGCCTTTCGATAGGCAACAAACAATTCATTGCGCCGAGGCAGGCACCGGCATCTCGTTTGATTCGTGTACCGCTGCAGCTCCCGATAAGCAAGGATCATTCTCTCCAACGTATGTTCAGGCTCTGTCTTCCGCGTGTTGTTCTTGTTCAGGATGAACTATTTATTTTTTCTGCATATGCTTTCAGAAATGCAGCACCTCATTTCCTTCATTCAGTCAAGATTCGGTACAACGTAGGGTTCATTCAGTTGGCACTGTTTGTAACAATACTACCTCTACGTTTTAGTCTCTTCATTTGCAGCTTATTGTTTTGTTTTTATCGTCTTATTAGTGAAGAGTTAATTGAACTCGGCTTGTTGGCTTGTTTTGCTTTTCTCGTCACTTATTCAGTCCAGACTCGTACAATAAAAGGCAGTTGATTCAACTCCTGTTGTTGCTCCAGATTCGCTTCATGTTCGTCATGTTTTCTCTTCTTGCTGCAAGTCTTGTTTTTGGAGGTCGTGATAGAGAGCCACAAACGCTTGTCACTGGGGTTCCTTTGCAGTTGATTCAGTTTTGGGTTGCCACTTATCATAGCAGTAGCTCAGTCTACCTCCTTTGGAGTTGATTCAGTTGTGGAGCCACTGGTAGTGGAGACGCCTCGCCAGTTTGGATTTCTCGACCGCTGGGAGAGAAACAGACATGTCTGCCTGCCAACATGTAAGGTCTGGACTTGGATGCTGGCATTCGCCACGGTTAGTACTCTATCAGTGAACCTTTGAGCTTGCCAGTTTTCCTCCTAAGCAACACAGAGGTTTTACCAGTGTTCGAAGATACAGAAAACAATAAATTGACTGCTGAAGGTTAATTGCTTGTCAGCTTGTTGTTTCGATGCCTGAATATGTTCTTCATCTCTCACGAAGAAATGTATTTGTGCTGCAGATCTACCGGAATCAGTGATACATTTCGTTGCATACGATTCGCAAATCAGATGCAGAGGCGGGTGCCTGCAGAAACTGTAACTGAAAAAACAATTTTCAGATGATTGCCTCGGCTTGTGTTGGAAGCAGATGGTATTAGGAGTAGATGATATTACGCCGTATTGTTGAGAGGTCGTACTGGAAATGTACCGCTCACGTACCCTCAAGGCTACACGTGGTACTGAAAATTGAATCTGTGCGTACTCTTTATGGGTCTTCATGTGCATGAAAAAACAGAACACCGATGCCTGGAATCAGTCAACAGGTTATTGGTCTGTATGTTGCTTGCTTTGTGCTTAGCGTGTTGACAGCCTGAAGTAAGGCGCGTACAATTTACAGTTTTATAGCCCATGCGTGTGAACATGTTAGTAATCTTGAAAACTTGGGGCATTTTTAACACTGGAACATGTTCATTTTTGTCCTGCTTCTCGACCCGTTGGCTGGGCAGCTGAGGTTGCTGCCAGCCCACCCGAATTTGAGTCCCGACACGGACGCGCGGTGCTCACGGAGTTTCTCCTATAAAGAAAAGCCAATGAGGGTTAGCCTTTGGGTTGGTCTCATTTTTTTTTCTCTGGTTGACCCAATAAGAATGAATGAATGCTGAAACGTTCCAGACTGAACTTGAAGCATCGTGTGAGAAAGGAGGGAGCAGCACTCCGGTACAGTAGCGAACACGAAGGGGAGTGAATGCAATCTCAAGTCTTTAATTTTTCAAACAACTTCTTAAAATCTCATCATTTTTCAAAAAAAGAAATGTTTTGAAAATAAAAATAAAGAAATAAAAATTGATGAAACCTAGTGAGAAGAAACAGCAGAAAAAAAAACTAGCAAAATGGACCAGAACCTTCCCAAAAATTCCTAAAACTAAAGAAGGGCCAAAAGATACCTTCTAGAAGGTTTACAACACCGATGTGCACGCTAGCTAAAATGGACAACCATGTGTGAAACCCCGCCAACTTGACGCTACGCTTGATGCGTCGAATAGGTTTTGCCAGACAGATGTTCCTTTTGCTGCGGGCGATATATAGACAGGGCGGTCTTTTTAGTGGAAAGAGAGAGAAGGAGACGAAGCTTCTTCACACGAAACTGTCCGAGACGGGACTTCCTAATCAGCGCCTTTTGCGCCAGTTAGGAGAAGTGACGCTCACACACATGCTCGGTCAAGCCGGCCCATTAAAGCTAGCTCGTGTCGGCTGACGGTTTGACCTTTTAACCTCTGATGATAGTTTGACCTGTTGACTTCTCAGAGAATTGGAAAAGGGTATCAAATTTGCAAAAATATATCATGAATTATAAAAAACCATGAATTAGTAAAAGTCCTCCATTTTGAAAAAAAAACTCTCAAATTTGAAAAAAAATGTCCGTGAATATAAATAAATGCTCATGAATTTGCAAAAAGTTCATCGAATTTTAAAAGGTTCACAAATTTTTAAATAATTTGAGAATTTGAAGAGTAAAATTCCATGTTTTCTTTTAAAATTAGCTAACAAAAACCGGCCAAATAACGGACAGAAACAAAACACAAAGAACCGGCCACCAGAAAAAAAACGCAGAAGAACCATATTACGACTACAGTTCTAAGTGGGCCGGCCCGTTGGGTCGGGGTGAGTATCTATCCTTTTACAAGTCGGGCGCGCACGCAGCCCGGCCCAATCCCTCTACAAGCAGGCCCGCAGGCCCGCGACCAGGCCTCTCTTCATCTTCTTAGGCCGCAAGAAAAGGGGGGGGGAGAGGGAGACCGAAGAAGAGGAAAATCCCGAGAGGCCAAAGAGAAAAAAGCTCACTTCATCGCCTCAGCCCCGCCGCACCCCCACACCCGCCGACGACGCGATGATTCCCAACCTCTCCGCCCTCGAGAACCACTTCGGCGCCGCCGCCGCCGGCAGCGACGACCTCGGCGGCCTCTTCTCCGCCGACGCCGCTGGCCAGCTCGCCCTCGAGTTCCCCACCTGCAACGACGTGCGTGAGCCCCTCCCCCGATCCCCTTCTCCCTCGCCCCGATCCGCCGCCGTCTGATCCCGTTTGTTGTTTTCTCCCCGGTGGCAGTTCGATGGGTTCCAGAAGGCGACCAAGGAGATGGTGAACAACAAGAAGGGGACCACCACGCTCTCCTTCATCTTCGACAAGGGCGTCATCGTCGCCGCCGACTCCCGGGCCAGCATGGGCGGCTACATATGTGAGTCCCCCTCCTCCTTCTTTCCCCTGGGCCCGCGTCCCGGTGCTAGTGCTAGGGTTTGGTCGCGCGGGGCCTCGATTCGCGGCCTGGATGCGTGATTTAGGGTCCGGGAGTTTTAGATCTCCTCGCCGAATCTGGCCCCTTTGTCGGGCGATTTTGTTTGGGATGGCACGTTTGTGATTAGCAATGTTGGGGATGTGTTTGCTTACTCTTGTGCACTAGGGTGTGGGTCTTCGTATCTAGTAAGTAATTCAGGGCAGTGATTCATATTTTTGTAAAATCTCAAATCAACCTGAGTAGGATGTGAAGAACTTCTGCTTAGGTTTAGTGGGCAGCAGAGAAAAACAGGCACAATCTCACAACAGTTGAGCTGCAAAGTGCAGTGCCATAGCCACACAACAGTTGTGGTGACTCTGCTTGGCTATGGCGATTCATTTGGATCATGTGATGAATACAAAGACACAGATTGAGGTTGGATGCTAACGATCTGCTGTGGCTAAGAAGAGATGTACTCTGTAGACTAGTAGAATTGCTAATGATAGAGTTGGTGAATCTATGTGATGTAGAGATACACTAAGATCATGCAAAAATATATATTAGTTTTGCTAATGCTTACCAGTGAATTCAGTCTGCTTATTTGAAGGTCCAACATTTGTGCATACTGATTTGTGTCCTTTGTGGTTTGGAGAAAGAAAATAGAAGGCTGTGGTTATTGTATAATGTCTATTTTTCTGCAAGCTCTAATCCTTCTGCAAAATTGCCCTTGCGTGTTTGTTATCATTGAGAAGACTTTCTGAAAGAACTATTTGTTGTTGTAGAAGGCTTTTGTCTGATGCAAGGATTATCACTTAAACATTCATCAGATTTTATCTCTGTTCTTTACATGACCGCTTATTTCTTTTCCTGCAGCCTCGCAAACTGTGAGGAAAATCATCGAGATTAATCCCTACATGCTGGGAACCATGGCTGGAGGTGCTGCTGATTGTCAGTTTTGGCATAGAAACTTGGGGGTCAAGGTAAAACGACACCTGCTTGTCTACTTGCATCTCATCTCTGCATAGTAAGACTAACAATAGATTCTTCATTCAGTGCCGGCTCCATGAGCTTGCGAACAAGCGAAGGATCTCTATTGCTGGTTCTTCAAAGACGTTAGCTAATATCCTTTACTCGTACCGCGGGATGGGACTTTCAATCGGTACAATGATTGCTGGATTTGATGAAACTGTGAGTCGCCCTTTGACATATATATTAGTCTCTTTAACCTGTACGGTCTATGCTTATGTCTTAACTGTTTTGCTCTTGATGTAGGGTCCGGGCTTGTACTATGTTGATAGCGAGGGTGCAAGGCTCAAGGGAAGCCGATTCTCTGTTGGTTCTGGCTCTCTATATGCTTACGGTATCTTGGATGAGGGGTAGGTTTTTTTGTAATACCTCTAGTATGTTGCTTTGCTCGCTGCTCATATTATCTGGAAGTTGCATCCCCTTATATTTGTGCTTTACATTTCAGTTACAAATTCAACATGTCAGTTGAGGAAGCTGCTGAGTTAGCTCGGCGGGCTATTTACCATGCAACATTCCGTGACGGAGCTAGTGGTGGCTGTGTTAGTGGTATGCATTCTGTTTCTTGGAATTTGTCCTGATATTTGTTTTAGAAATTTTGTACATAACCCTGTTTTACATAACTGTCTACTTATGCCATTATGAAGCAAACAGTAATAACAGCAAACAGCCTTTACCAATATATTCTGGACATACTGTTATCATTACAATTTTAAACCAAGCTGCCTTGGTTGATATGTTTATGTTGCATCCATGATCTAATAAAGCATTGAACAAGTAATGCTGAAGCCCTGATCCATTCTTGAATCTTGATAGGCCTGTAGGACAGCGGGACTTGTGTGATCTTCTTGAACATCTGCTCCTGCCTGAGTTCACGTATTCTGCCTGACTATTACCTCTTTTGCTTCGATTTCAGTCTACTACGTTGGCCCTGACGGCTGGAAGAAGCTGTCCGGAGATGATGTTGGAGAGCTGCACTACCACTACTACCCAGTCCAGGCGGCTCCCGTCGAGCAAGAGATGGCCGAGGCCCCCTCTGCGTCAACCTGATTGATGTCGTACGAAATTCCGTGAACTGTGCTGAAGCACCTTGTTTTATGGACTGGGGGCTTGTTTGTCTCCTCCTCGACATTAGAGTGTTCTCTTCTGAGACCTGCTGATGTTCGACTTACACATCTGTTATGGAAGTGTGGTTGTAGACTGATGAATGTTATAGATGTTTCCATTGAAGTTTCATTTGAATTCGCTTGCTTGCCTGTTGTTATGAGTTTGTGTTGCTGCTGGATAGTCTGGGCCTAGGGTGGGCAAATGAAGATGCTTTTTAAATCAACGGCCGGTGAGGTGACTACGAACTGAGAAGTGAACTGATGGTCCGATAGATGCTGAACAATCGTGCTGTAAACATTAGGCGAAAAAGTCTCATATTCAAACCTCACTTTTTGCACGCAGAGGTAAAAAGATGGACTGGTTCGTTTCCTACAGAACCGGCGGCACTGCAGGTTTCAAGCATTTCGTTCCTCTCTGAATTTTACTGCTCTGATGCTTATCGGAGTAGTAAAAATATCTTTCTTTAGGCAATGTAAGACATCTTCTCAAATGGTAAGTGTCACACAATGTGGCATGAAGTAACAATGCCCCGACGTTTTTATAACTAAAATTGTCATAAAGAAAGAAAATCTAAAAAAAGATATAACTAAAATTGTTATAAAGAAAGAAAATCTAAAAAAAGACCGAAACTAGCCATCCAAACAAAATATTGTCATACTTCATAACTAAAGTTGCCATCCTCAGTTAACTAAAATTGTCATCAAAAAGACGTCAGGGGCGGAATTGCTTCGTGCCACACTCATGGCACTTGTCAGGGTCCAATATCTTTTCGTGAGATATTCTCTTTGATGATTTTTTCTTTGGTACTACAGTATTTCCGCAACCAAAATAGAAACGCATGCACTGCCGCCCCTTTCTCTTCTTCCCTTTCCCATAGCGCAACCGTCGACCCAAATCTTCCGCTCGCCAGGAGGAATTGCCGCCTGCGATGACGCGACGAAGCCGGGAACGCCGCGCAGCCGCCGACGAGGGAAACTAGGCGGCAGCGCGTGCCGCCGCCAGCCCCCTGCATACGACGCCAACAAGGAGCGCCGCCACGCCGAGGAGGTGCTCTACCTCCACTCCCTTTGGCGCATCGGGCCGCCCGCCCCTGCCCCCGCCAGAGACTCCCACCCCACCCGTGCCGCCTCACTGAGGAGGATGTGGCTATGAGGATGGGCGTGTGGAAGACTTAGATCCCAGCCAGTCTGGTAACTACCAACAGCAGCAGTCCTACACCAGACGGTCACGCAACAGTCCTACACCCAGACCAGCGTGGGCGCACAGCAAGAGCAGCATTGGGCCACCGGACAAGAGCAGAAGGAGGGGAAGGAGGAGGAGGAGGAGGGTGAGGACGGCGAGGACGATGATATCCGGATGATACAGCCGGCGATCCGAAGAATAAGGGTAGAGGGAGAAAGCTTCAACATGCGGGAAGGCGAGTTGTCGTGTGATGCATGATTAGCCACTAGCCTCGATCTGATCCATGGCATGGAGCAAAAGGACACACCATTTTGGAAAAAAACATTCACATTTGGTTCCACGAACACAAACATTTCAGCACTTACTCCGACGCGGGCATCCGCAACCGTGAATCAAAGTCCCTCAACCATAGATGGTACACCATCAAGAGGACGTGTCCAAGTATTGCGGGCACATGAAGCATCTCATCGCACGGTGGCCTAGCGGTGCACAAATTACCAAGCAAGTAAGCTGATCGCTAGCCGGATGTGCTTAGTTTTGTTGCTCACTAGACGGATATGCATTGTTCACAATGTGTCACTTTGTAGCCTTCTCGTGCTTGTTTGGTGTACAAGAAGTTGGAGAAGAACTTCACCGTCACGCATTGTTGGTTGAAGTTGAATGGACAACCAAAGTGGAACCTTTTTATAGCCAAGACCGCCGCCCAAGCCACAGAGGAGAAACCGGTGACCCTACCGACCCAACCCAAGAACCGCCAAAAAAGGTAGAAGATTTTTACGGGGAAAGAAAGTTGGAGGAGGAAAGAGTGAAGCGAGAAGGTGCGGTGGCAAGCTGATGGAGAGGCTCGAGGACATCTTGTCAAAGAAGGAGGCATGCGTGAAGCGCTCAGACCTCAAGGAGGAGAAAAATGCGGAGAGGTTCAAATTGTTGATGGAGGCGACAGACAAAAAGTTCAAGCTCGAAGAGAGGAGGACCATGATCAAAGAGAGGAAAGCCGCGCTCAAGGAAAAGAAGTTGAAGATTCACAGCCAATGCGGATGATACCAATATGTTGACCTTGAATTTGGATGCTTGGATGCCACGCAAGAATGATCATGCAATCTGTCTGCTACCAGATGTTGCAGTGGCAGAAAAATGAGTTGATAGCGGCGGACAATGAGGCGGAGGTGGACGCGGACGCGGAGGTTGCCTACGCGCCGACGACGACACCTTGATCGGTGAGCAGATGGCTGGGATTGCCGGTCCGGCAGGGCATAAATTTGCACGGACTGCCGAACAGATGTTCTTTTGGATTCAGGCATGTAAAAACTAAGCATACTTGCCTCCTTTTAGTTGTGATTGGGCATGCGATCCAGCGCTGGTGTGACCCGGCGCGCTGTATGGATCAAACTATATTTAAATTTTAAATTGACCTTGACTGATGGCATTGGATGGCCGGCTCCGCATCCTTATTCGGAGGAATGTCGGAGAAAATCTGCGTGTTGCTGTCGAAGATGCCATAAGATATTTTTTTAGCCATAGGAGTGTCGCAGTAAATATTTTTTTAATCTAGGACGCCGCTAACTGCCACACGTGTAGCAGGAAGGAAGACGCACCACACGTCTCTAATGCAAACAAATTGCCACGTCATTGCATGCATGCATGTAGGAATCTTTTTGGATTTTCAGTTTTTAAAATGTTTTATCTCTTAAACAAAAAATCCGATTGAAGATCCGTTTTCACCATTAAATCCCTCACGATGAGATCTTCGAAACTAGATCCCATGTTGATATGTTTTGATGAAAAAAAAATTGGATTAAAAGTTGCCATGTCTATTGCATATGAATTGCCATGATGTTTACACTAAAGTTGCCATGATATTTTTCAGCTATTTTCTTCTACATTAGAAGTAAATTTTGACATTTATAAAACGGGAAATTAAGAAACTAGACTTGCCATGAACCATAAACTAAAATTGCCATGATACATGCACGTAAAATTGCCATGGTTCATACAAAAAATAATTTTCATGGTCAAAGTACTGGAGTTGCCATCATCAAAATACTAAAATTGCCATGATCTACAAACTAAAATTGCCACATGGCAACTTTAGTTTAAGCCGTATGGCAACAGCAGTGTAAACATCATGGCAACTTCTGGGCAAAAAAAAAATTTCGTCGAAACACATCAACATGGAGTCTAGTTTTGAAGATCTCGTCGAGACGGATTTAATGGTGAAAGCGGATTTTTAGTTCGCCTTTTTATTTAGGAGATACAACATTTTTAAGCCGAAAATCAATTTTTTTTACTGATGTCATCTATTCATACATGGCAAAATGAATGGTGATGGAGCCGTGTGGGCGACGTGCAAACGCCCACACGTGTGGGTGTTAACATTTTCGTTAATCTAAGTAGTAAGGGAATATCTTTTTGTGAGATATTCTTTTGATGATTTTTCGGCGGCCCAAGCGGCTGGGCTCCTCCCGCAACCAAAAATAGAAACTCAGCCGCCGCCGCGGCGCCGCCCCTTTCTCTTCTTCTCCCTCCCTGAGCGCAACCGCCCACCCAAATCCCCCGCTCGCCACGAGGAACCGCCGCCTGCGATGACGCGCCGAAGCCGGGAACGCCGCGCGGCCGCCGGCGACGGAGACCCCGCCGGCCCCCCGCATTACGCCCCCGACGAGGAGCGCCGCCTCGCCGAGGAGGTGCTCTACCTCCACTCCCTCTGGCGCAGCGGCCCGCCCGCCCCCGCCGGTCCTCCCGCGCGACCCGCCGGGGGCTCCCGCGCCACCCGCGCCAGCGCCGGAGGCTCCCGCCCCGCCCGCGCCCGCCCCAACCAGCGGAAGCGCCGCAGGACCGAGCGCCCCGCCGCGGATTCCGAGGAGCCCGGCGCCGACTGGCCCCTCGCGCCCTCCCCGCCCGCCTCCCCATCCCCCGCCTCCTGGCCCGACGCCGCCCCCTCCTCCCCCGCGCCCAGGCCGCAGCCGCAGCAGCAGCCTTCCCCCGCCTCGCTCGCGCAGCGGGACGCGCTCCGCGCCGCCGAGGAGTTCTTCTCCGCGCGCGGCGCCGATGGCGACGACGAGTCAGAGGGGTCCGAGTCGGAGGACGGCGGCGACGCGGCGGCCGAGTTCTTCCTGGGGCTGTTCGAGCGGGACGCCGGGCTGCGGGGGTACTACGAGCGGAGCCACGAGGAGGGGGAGTTCCGGTGCATGGGGTGCGTGGGGAGGAAGAGGAAGGGCAGGGGCCAGGCCAGGAGGTTCCGGGACTGCGTCAGCCTCGTGCACCACGCGCGCGACGCCACGCGCTGCGGCAGGCCGCTTGCGCACCGCGCGCTCGCCGCCGCCGTCTGCCGTGTGCTCGGCTGGGACGTCAAGCGCCTGCCCAGCATCGTCATCGACCCCTGCGGCACGCTCGGCCAGGCGCTGCTCGCCAGGGAGGGGGCGAGTGCCGCCGCTTCCACCGCCCAGGAGGCAAAGGTTCTCAGCCCATTCGTTGCTGCAGGTCGCTCACTGACGAGACTTTGTGCTGTAACTTAATTTGATTTAATTGTTGATCGCAGGAGAATGTTGATAGTGTGCACAATGATGGCGTGGATGCAGTGAAGGTGTGCGCCTTGTTACGTTAAAATGGTGGTTATTGGTGGTTGGTGAGATTGCTGGTCAGCTGATCTGGTTTTGTTATTGATTTCAGGAGGATGTTGGTTCGGAGAAGAAGGGCTCCTTGAATGATGACAGGAAGGTAACGCTGGCGTGCAAAGTTGATCACTGACGAGATCACGATACTACTGCTTGTTATTCTGATTTGGTTGTTGATTGCAGGAGGATGTTGATAGTAGAATGAATGAGGCCGCATTAAGTGATGGGGATGGAGCAAAGGTCTGCAACATACAACATAAATGATTACTGATCGATCATGAGATTGTTGCTTGGTTATGTTCTGATTTGGTTGTGACTTTCAGGACGGTGTTGATACAGGGAAGATTGGCCCTCCAAGTAATAACAATGATGGAGAGGTTCATGTGCAAGGGAGTGGTGCAGGAACTGCTGAAAAGGTCTGTATCGATGATAATTAGCCATATAAAGGTTAAAACTCCAATATGATGTACAATAGTATTTTCATGATTTTGGTTGTTCAGTATTTTCTTATCACATGCGGTCTACTGCTTTCTTACACTATCTGACATAACTGTTGTTTGGCATGCAGGAAGGTGCTATTGGCACTAAACAGGAGCATCCTAAGAGTGCAGATGATATGAGGGGCACTTGTAATGTCAGACTAGAAAACAATTCATCAAAGGTGCATCTCTAACCTTCACATTTGCATAATGTGATTGTTTTTTATTGCTTATTGTTATTTTGGCACGCAGGAAGAAGCTGCTACAGAGAATAAGGAGGAGCATACTGACGGTGTTGTTGACTCTCGAGATGATATTGGTAACTTGGGAAACAATTTAATGGACTCATCAAAGGTATTGTCTCTCTCTCTCTCTTAACTCGTCGCATATCAGCATGCTTGAAATCAATCTGTTTTAACTTGATGTGTTGTGTGCAATCACTACCTTAGGTGTACTCGTGCACTCATGACATCTGGACATCGCGATAGGAGATTCTAGATTGACAAGCCACTCACTGAACGTGTTATCCTCCACCTGCCCATCCTAGCCTCGCCAGTTTACAGCCCTCTCACCCAACCAAAAACCTTAACCCATGACTGGGCAGGGCCAACGATGAACGGGCGTAATGCCACAACAATAATGGCGGCCCATTTCTGCCTGCCAACCCAAGCCTTGCCTGCAACTGTCTTTGGCCATCCAACCTCTGCTCCCATGTCTCCTGCCTCCCTGACCAACCTTACCGGATCAGGACCTTGTCCCATCCTGATCCGGTCACATGACTCGTGCCACCGATGGGGCCATCATCATGGGTAGTTGGTACTCCCACCGACTTCACAGCTTGCACAATGTTGTCAGATCTGCTGCATCTGCATTTCAAAGATTACATGCATTACCAGACGTCATGTATATTTTTGTTATGCATTTTTGGGACACTTTTTAGGTAAATGGAAGCAAACACTGTTCCGACCTCCTTCATCAAAAGATACACATGTTTGGTGCATTATCTTATATTTTTCTATTTTGTATTTTTGTACTGGTTGGTAATAGTATAGTTTGTTGAAAAAGTAGCATGTCAAACATTATATTTGTGGGTTGCATTGGCGTACATAGATATTTTTTCTAATGCATTTTTGTGATAGGCAAACATATTTGTCATACATTTTTTTTATTCATTCAAATTATAAAATTGGATGTGAGGAAGTGAGTCTCAGCCAAATGTGTGGAGGGTTGACGTGAAGACATACTAAGTGGCATGATATTTGATGTCCACCAGTCCTGATTTGGATTCTCAACCACATGTTCTTGTCGAACTATCCAGATCTCTTTTTTGTAGCATGATATCCAGATCTCAGTAGTGCTGGAGTACACCAAAAATGGTAATTGAACAACAAGATACTCCACACATGCATTTCGAAACTCAGTTTTGACAATTAATTTGACTAACCAGAAGTGGGTTATGTTCTACAAAAATTGTTTTATCGGATTCGTGTTTGAACAAAGTTTCCAATGGTATAATTCTTTATGACATAGGAGTATAAGACATAATCAAATTAGTGGTCAAAGTTAAATCATGCAAAACAAGGACGCCATGTAAAAGGGGACAGAGGGAGTATGCCTTTTCTCATGCATTTGGCCCAAAATCAGTTGAAATGTGTGCTGTGATGATAAACTATTGTGATGGTGTGGATTTTCTGGCCCAGATGAAGATTAGGTAAAATAATACTCCCTCTGTCCCAAATTACTTGTCTTAGATTTGTCAGATACAAATCTAAGGCAAGTAATTCGGGACGGAGGTAATAGAAAGGTAGACTTAAAAGGTTCTTAAGAGAATCTGCTCGGCTGACTAGCTAGCTATGTTACGAACAAACAATAGAAGTTTCTGAATAGAAATCCTGAATGTATATAATTGGATGAAGTATGTATAAATTTGAAGGAGCAAATATCATCCCACAATGTACATCCAGTAATTTATTTGACTTCTTTTAGGGAGTGTTTGTGTGTGTGGAGTTTGCAGATGTGAACCGAGATCATCCGAACATTCTCCTAGCTGGCTGTTGTGACCCACATACTTCTTGATGACATCACTATTTGGCTACTTGCTGATGCTAAGTTCATGTTTTCTGGAATGCAGAGTTGAAAGTTGAGATTGTGCTGTGTACACACGAACTGAAGGAGCACATCCTGGCATCTATCCAATTCGACCATGTGGAGAATGCGGGCGACCATTTCCTATTTTGTTTCGTGAATTCTACCTGAGCATTTCTCGATTTTGCAGTTGTGTAGTTAATCAACTGTTCTTCCGTGGCCCAACTGAGCATAGCTCGTTCTCTCACTGGAGCACTCTCATGTTAAAGAGAGAAGTTTCTCTTGTGGCCAGTCAGATTCAGTTGCAATTTCTTGAAATGAATGAAGCGATGTGGTCCTTCTTTCCCTCCAAATCGAAAGGTTTCTGAGCTTTGTTGTGGTATTGCTTGCAATTTCGACAAAATATGGTTGGAGTAAAGAATCCCTTCCTTCTCCAACAGGCGAGTCTTTGACCAATTTTTCTATCAAGGAATTCAAACACCCTACTCTGTCCGTTTTAAAATACTCGGAAGCCCTATTCAAACTTTTGTAAGTTTGGCCATGTAATATATAGAAAAATATATTAGCAGCTGCAAGACTACAACATCAAATAACTCTCTTTAAAAGACACGCCGATTGCCAAGATTAAACGGAGTCTCGAGGTAGGAAGAGCCTGGGGAGACCTTATTCCAACATACCATGGCCACCACCACATTTTCATGTCGCCACAGAAACAAAAATCTAAGGAAAAGAAAACGAGATGTGTGTGTCCCCACTCCTCTCACCATTGACAAGGCCGCCGATCGAGGAAGAGGAGGGATACCGAGGCAGTGGCATGTAGAAAAGCTTTGGTGGCAGCAGCTAGGTTGGAAACCCCAGACGGAGTTTACTTTGAGGAATTTACACTATACTAGAAGAACGCCCGTGCGTTGCAACGGGGCCACATTAACTTTAAGAGTTCAATATTACGACATTGGCGACCTTTTTTATCATCAAATCCTCACACACACAGACACACACTCTCCCTCCCTCTTCCTCACTCTCTATCCCCCTCTCCCTCTCTCTCTAACACACACACATATCCATCTTATTGGGTACGGGACCATAATCCATCTATTTCACATATACACGCTAGTGCATAACAATATGGATTATGTGTATTATATTTGCCACCAGAACTGAGGGAATTAATTTCATGTAAATCGACCAGCCACAGCTCCAAGAATACGCGCACGAGGTGGCTCGGGTCGGCGTCGGCGCCGTCCAGCGCGGGCCACGGGCCCGCTTCCAAGTGCACGTGCAATGCACGTCTTCACAAATATTATAACCAGATGTGAGAAATCACATGCATAGAAAAGACATTCTGATAGTAATCCAAATACCATACTCAATTGAATACCTAACCTGGACAATACTCTTATTTCTATGCGCCAGAAAAAATGGAATAGCAAAGCTAAGTATGCCTACATACGCTCAGATTATATATAAGAATCTTGGGTGAACAATTGCAACAAAGCACTAAGCAGCGATACATTTAAATAAAAAATTCATTAACTATGCAGGCGGCAGGCTTGTTACAACATAGAAAGATAGGAAAATGTCACCTCCAGTAATGTAGCGTGAAGGAGTGGAACGAAGCATGAATGAGCGGTTGTCTGTTCTTCTCCATGTACATGGATCAGCAGTAGAGGCCAAGTATATAAGTACTTGACCGAACTCCACTCTTCGTGTACGGAGAGCCATGTCACCTTCTCGCCGCTGCAGCATGGGAGGACGGCTGGTTCACGTGACCCTCCAGCTGGGGGATCCATGGTGGCTGACCGTCGAGCTCGAGGCAGAGAAGTTGAGGGCAGTAGTGGCGAGATCCATGCCGGCCAACCGGGCGAAGAGGAGGTCGTCGGGGAGGGACACATCGGCAAGATCCGGTCACCACGCGGCCTGAAGAGCAACAATGATCTCCACAAGCTGTAGGCCGACGGCGTGCTCCATCCCTTGCGATGGGGTGACCATGGCGGTGGCCACAGCTCCTCATGCTCGCCTCGATCTCGGCGACACACCCTGAGTGTAGGAGGCAGCAACGACCTCGACGAAATCATGACCTCCATCCCGGAACGCAATCATGTCGCTCTAAATAAATGGATTCAATCATGTAATCATGTGACTCCAATTACTTCGGATTGTTATGTGCACACTAAGCGGGGTGCAGTTAGGAAAGAAAATGTTTTCTAATTAAAGTGATTGAGTGATTTAAGGTAAGGTTAATTAATTTAGATTTGATTTTAGTGATTGTTAGTAAAATATGATGCGTCTTTAAAATCTTTTATTTGTTTCCTTAAAATCTATTATTTGTTTCCTAAAGAAATTTACAATAATGGAAGGTATCGGTTGATTTGGATAAGTTAGTAAATTTAGATCCGTGAATGTGTGCACGCTTGGAAAGTGCTGATTTGCAAGGAAAGGGCTGAAGGGTAAATAAACCGGTGAATAAGAAACCAGCATCGGAAAAAATCTACGACGGTTAACCTACGAAAAAAACCGGACGAAAGTGGTGGGACGAAAAAAAACCTGAAAGCAAGACTACCAACTGCTTCATTAGAAGTAGAGATTGTGTATTGCTCACAACCGCATGATAGGTAAAATGTGATTGGTAGTTTGATATCTGAAAACTAGTTTAATTTACACTATATCAATTCCAGTACCAAGTGTTTGTTTGGCCAGAATGAGGAAAGGGAATGGGAGTTTACACGTTGGAGTGTAATAGGGGATTAGGCACGAGAAGTTGAATTTTAGTCTCAACTAATAGAACGCCCGTGCGTTGCCACGGGCTTTTAAAATATTTTTGTTGAGTTGTATAAACATAATGGATGTAAATTTTCACATATAGAGATAAGATAGTACGGGAATGTTGGTGCTTTGTCACGTGTTACGAAAATATTTTGCTAAAATTATGTAAACACAACGCATGTCCAATTTTGCATGCAGAGACAAGATAGCACGGGCACAATCGGGGTATTTATTGAAGTCCAATTCACTTGTAAAATTGATAAAAGAGATAAATTAACAATGTATACATATAGAGCGATGATCCAATTAAAATTCTATTACAAATTAATATCTATTGTTCCTTGTTGTGTTTACGCAATTCTCACACAATATTAGAAAATGGTGTTTTTAGCTTCATTCACACGATATTTAAGCAAGTATAATACAAACTTCTTCCTGAGCCTACATTGGTCAGCTACATTTTGATCTTACTTTATATCATAGTAAATGTGCTGCTGTAATCATGGAGTAGTGCTTCTAGCATTGTTGAGAGTACTTACAAAAGTGACCATAATCCATAGTACCCCATAGTACCTGTGTTGCTCCTGTTGCAAATCCCAACCCCAACCCGTGCTCACTCTCAACCCTCACTTTGATCACA